AGCAACAGCCTATCAGGACTCACCGGCAGGTATGATGCTTCTGCCCATTCATTTTTAATTTTAAAATAATGCCTGTGCGGTCGCATGTGAAGTAGGCGCCATTCTCTGGCTTGTGGTGATTTTCCAACGCTGCCTACGTCCACCTCCCCTCAGTTCCCGGCAGCAAGGCCAGGCCCCAGCTGCAAACCACTGGGAACCAGATGGCAGCCATGCCAGAGCCCGGTGGGGTGGGGGTCTTGAATTTGGGGTCCACCCATTCTAAAACCAAAACAGAGCCCATTTACAAAAGGGGATGAGACTAACTGCGCCCAAGGTGCAAGACAGAGGCTGGTTTGGAGACCATCTCTGTCTGGCACTGGGGCTAACAGCGTCTGACAAACGTCTGAGCATCGTCATTTTCTCGCTTCTTGTCCTGGCCAAAAGCTCTCTCATCCCAGAGGGGACCGAAGGGCCGCAAGATGCCTTGTAAAAGAAGCCTAGGGCCAGCTGACAGGAGGCTGCGGCATGAAAGGAGAGGCTTCCCGCAGTCACCGATTCCTTTTATTGAATCGTGAGAGACAGGTCCTAAAGCTAAACAACCACCTTGCTAACAGTCACATCTGTCTTCGCCACCAGCTCACCCTCGGTAGAATGTGAAGCACCACGCAGGGGCCAGATCCCGCTCTGGTGTGAATTGGGGAGGTTAGCCAGGAGTCTGCTGGAGTATCAACGACTCGCTTGCCCTCCCCACAGTCGACGGGCTGCTGCCGCCAAGCAGCCCCCATTCGTGGTGGCCCAGGCTGGCCGTGCGCAGGGGCTGCCGGACTCAGTGCGAGAGGAGACGGAGGAGTCCCAGCTTGCGCGGCTCCGGGATGCTGCAGCTCTCCATTTTAAATGCAGTAAGAGCCCAGGGGTTCTTGCGACATTTAAAATGCAGACTCGCAGTGTGGGAGGCTCCCGGATCCAGTACAGTCCCAGGTCGAGCCGGCTCCGGGAGCTACCCCCACTGCAGCTCTGCAGCGATTAAGCTCATCGTGTAGAGCAGGGCTGGGCAATAATTTTTGTCCAGGGCCCTGGAAATGGGGGCAGGATGCTTCTAGGCTACCACACCCCCAGACCATAATTGGTCTGGGGGTGGGGGAGCCCCTTTGCCCCCCCTTTCCACTAGGCACCCATGCCCCTGGCAGGGAGGGAAGAGGCTTCGCACGCCCCCCCCCCCAGGCCAATAGAGGTCTGGGGAGCGTGCAAAGCCTCCTCCCGCCCTGCAAGGAGCACGTGGCACTTTGAAGTGCCGCATGCTCCTTGCAGTGCCAGGGCAGGGCAAAGGAAGCTTCACACAGCTCCCCCGCCCCCGCCGGCCCTGACTGGCCTGGGGGGAGTGTGTGAAGCCTCCTCCCACCCTATCCCCACCCTGCGAGGAGCACGCGGCACTTCAAAGTGCTACACGCTCCTCGCAGGGCGGCGGGGGGGGGTGGGGGGGCGGGACAGGCCAATCAGGACTTGGGGGCGGGGGAGCATGTGACATCTCCTCCCGCCCTGCAAGGAGCTCATGGTGCTTCAAAGCACTGTGGGGGCCTGCCAGGGCAGGAGCAAGTCTTGCCCGTTCTCCCGCCCCTAATTGGCCTGAGGGCGGGGGAATGGCAGGGCCTCTACGGGCCGGAGCAACCCGCTTGGACCTGCGGAGGCCCTTTTGCCCACCCAGGCGTAGCGGATACAAATTGTGTGGATTACACAATTAGCCAGATAACCACTACTTAACATTCTTAGTGTGAACCGGTGTTGCTCCGCCCACTTTGACCCTGGTGTCCAATGGGATGACTGTGATTGGCAGCCCCTAAAAGATTTGCATTGCCAGAGGAACGCAAGTCAAACCCGGGGGGTTTGCAATCTGCTCCAGGGGACAGTGGGCACGGGGAGAGAGGGGCGCTGCTAGACACCACGGAAGGAACAGAAATATCCACAACAAAGGTCCCTGCACAAATCACAGTCACTGAAATGGCAACGGAGCGGGAGTCACTGAGCAGAGAGGGGCGCTTTGTGTGGCAGGCCCAGGCAGATGTAGCCGTCTGAACCCCTGCTCTCATTGCAGAGTTCATAAGACAAACAGACATTGATATAACCTCCGTGCCACTGAAAAGCCACAAGGACTTTTTTAAACAACACTTCTATGGTCTCAGCACAGTCACTGCTTGTTTCTCTCTGTGCCTCTGCTGAATTCCCTGCAGGCCTGAGTCCCCCAAAATGCTATTCTCTAAGGCTGTGTCCTCACTGGCAAGTTATTCCGGAAAAATCAGCCGCTTTTCCGGAAAAACTTGCCAGCTGTCTACACTGGCCGCTTGAATTTCCAGAAAAGCACTGACGATCTAATGTAAAATCATCAGTGCTTTTCCGGAAAAACTATGCTGCTCCCATTCGGGCAAAAGTATTTTTTCCGGAGAACTGTTCTGGAAAAGGGCCACTGTAGACAGCACAGTAGTGTTTTCCGCAAAAAAGCCCCAATCGCGAAAATGACGATCGGGGTTTTTTTTTTTTTGCGGAAAAGCGCGTTTAGATTGGCCACGGATGCTTTTCCGCAAATAGTGATTTTCCGGAAAAGTGTCCTGCCAATCTAGACGTGCTTTTCCGAAAATGCTTTTAACTGAAAACTTTTCCATTAGAAGCATTTCCAGAAAATCATGCCAGTCTAGACGTAGCCCAAGGGTATCCTTAGAGAAATGAGCACACTCATTTCGAAATAGCACATCTACATTGCCAGGAAGCCTCAAAATGAGTCCGAGGCAGGCTTCCCTAATGTGGACATCCTATCTCGATTTAGAGCCCCATGAGGCACTGGGGAGGGGAAAACTTAGAATGACCCTGGTGAGGGGCTATTTTGACATAGCAGCGGCACGTCTACACAGGCCTTATTTCGAAATCGCTATTTGGAAGAGGCGTTATTCCTCCTAGAATAAGGTTTACACATTTCGGAATAAGCCGTCCGTTGTTTCAAAATTATTTCGAAATAACGGAATGGCTGTGTAGACGCTCATGTGTTATTTCGAAATAACGCTAGTTATCTCGAAATAACGGTGCCGTGTAGATGCACCCTCAAGGAACAGAAACATACACAGAAATAACCCAAGATAGTGGCATGGTCTTACGGTGATGGAGGAATGAGAGGGTGGCAGATTTCAGGTTAAAGCCAGCAAGGTTTCCATCAATTTACATGCATGTTCTTAATGAAACAGATTGTGAAAAAGTCACTGCAGTTTTGAAATCAGATAGGGTGTGTCTAGACTACAGTTTTTTTGTTTTTTTTCCCAAAGTGGTCTTTTTTCACAAAAAAACTTCCCCTGCATCTAGACTGCCACTGCATTCTCTCAAAAGTAAATCGAAAGAACACGGCAGTTTTTGCGATCACGGAAAACCTCATTTTACGAGGAATAATGCCGTTTTTCAAAAGTGCTCTTTCGAAAAAGGCATTATTGAACATGAACTGTGCTTTTTCGAAAGAGAGCATCCAGACTCTCGAAAGAGGTCTGTAGTCTAGACATGCCCTTAGTGAAGGGGCTTGCAGGCCCTACACTTTCTCCATATCCGGGCTCTTTCCCAGGATCACAGGCATTCAGAAAGGGTCTTACCTGATAAGTTTCAAAGGAATTGTGTTAAAACTGAAACCATTTTTACACCTAAAAGGTTAGCCAAAGCCTGCTTAAAATCAAAATGCAGCAGCAAGAAGAAGAAGAAGAAAAAAAAAACCCACAAACCAGAAACTGTAGCCCCAAACAAAGCACAGTGGTACAGTCCCTTGAACGTGTAAGGATGCACTCAACACTGGCCACATACTGATGTGTAAACAGGCAGCAGGGTATGAAGATCACACGCCCACAGTCCAGGAGATGAGCAAGGATACGTAGCATGGCAAATGATTCAACACTAATTGCTACCCTGGGTCGGGATAATCAAAAACTGCCCTCCCCCATCCAAGCGCTGTCAAACGGAAAGTTTCGCTCTCTCAACACTACAAAAACATTCTTGCATTCTCTCAGGACTAGGCATTCTTCCTGGAAGTCTGTCCCTCACGCCCACAGTCCAGGAGATGAGCAAGGATACGTAGCATGGCAAATGATTCAACACTAATTGCTACCCTGGGTCGGGATAATCAAAAACTGCCCTCCCCCATCCAAGCGCTGTCAAACGGAAAGTTTCGCTCTCTCAACACTACAAAAACATTCTTGCATTCTCTCAGGACTAGGCATTCTTCCTGGAAGTCTGTCCCTCGGTGACTGTTATGCAGGTGTACGAGTGAAGCTTTCAGCTCCTCAGGTTGTCTTTTCCCCCCAAACACACATGTACACACACTCCCTTGAGGGCCCTGTAATGGCCCCCCAATGACCGTTACCGCGGTACAACGCTTGGATTCAAAAAGAAACTCGGCCTTTGTTCTGTGCACCCAGGGCTCGCTGAAAAAAGCCCGCGTGCTGCAGACAGATGCAATTGCTAGCTCAGTCACACAGTAGCTGGGACTACGTCCTGTTCCTTCAGGTCCAAACACCCGCCTCAAACTAACACAGCAGGCCCGTCAGCTCGCAGATCAGTCACTAGAGCAGCGATGGGCAATCTAGGCTAGCGAGTGGGCCACACCAATGGCCTTTCTTTAACTCCTTGGGCTGCACGACTGTCAGGACAAAGATGATCTCCCGGGACAGGGTAGTTTTGCTCACTAGCCCTGGCTTTACATCTGTGTCATTCTAATAATACCGGTAGGAAAAAAGCTACCTGGATGGAAGCCAGCGGAATCTGGCAACAGCAAACAAAACATCTTGTGGGCCACACGGAAAACCCCAACGGGCTGCCAGTGCCCACCACTGCCCTAGAGAGACCACTGCCTCGTTCCATCAGCCTGCTTTGATCATGACTTACACCAACCTAAGGGACAAGCACAGAGGACTGTAGATCCAGGAGAACCTAGACGTAAGGCATTTTACAAGAGGCAACATCAGTGGGCATTGGGCCAGGCCCTAGATGAATCCAGGTCTCACCTTCCTTTGAGCTAGTAGTAGCCGCGGCTGCAGCTGTCCCCGACGCCCGTCCCACAGGGCTGGAGTGTTTCCCTGCCCTGCCGGGGATTTTAAGTCCACTTGGCTTCAGCATGTTTGTCTCACTCTGTATCTCCAGCTAGTAGCTGCCGGTCTCTTGGAGGGTTTTCCTACTGGTACCCAGTCAGGCTTGTAGGCGACGGACCCTTTCTTCCATTGTCACAGACCTGGAGAAAAAGAAGAGCACAAGGAAGTGAGATTCGGTGAAGAGAGGAAAGATGATCTTGGAGTTAAGGCATCAGACGAAGACCCAGAGAACCTGGGTTCATGTCTCACCCGTCACCCTTGGATTCATAGGGTGTCTCTAGACTACAGGGTTTTGTCAACAAAAGTGGACTTTGGTCAACAAAACTATACCTGCGTCGACAGACCTCGGCAGTTTTGTCAACGGTGGTAAATCTCATTCTACGAGAAATAACGCCTTTTGTCGACAGAGTTCTGTCGACAGAAAGCGTTATTGCTTCTACACTGTCCTTTGCATCTACACTCTCATGTCGACAAAGCAGCTTGCTTTGTCAACAGAACTGGATGTAGTCTCGACAAAGTATCTGTCGACAAAGCCTCTGTCGACAAAAGCCTGTAGTCTAGATGTACCCAGAGTGCAGAAGCCCAGATGATGATCTAGTCCAGGACCGTATGATGATCTAGTCCAGGACCACTCAACTTTGGAAGCCCCGGGGGGCCATAATGATGCTCACAGCACATGCCGAGGACCACAACTTAAGCGTGGTTACACATATATGCAAATATATGCAAATAGCTTCATTCACATTGATGGGCATTAATACAAAGCACTTCCCACAATGCCCTGGCACTCCTGGCACCTCCTCCCTGGGGGCTAGAAACGCCGACAGCCTGTACCCATCTGTTCCAGCCAGCCCCTCCGCTTGTGTCTTTCATTGCTCACCCTGCCCAGGAGACGCCTCGCTGTTGAGGAGCATGTTCCCAGTGGAGGCCACGTTCAAAGGATCCTACCCACAGGCTACGTGTTGAGCCCCACGCAAACCTAAACCACACCGCGGGCCATAAACGAATGGGCTGCTTGTTGAGTAGCCCTGATCTAGTTTGATCTCCCGCATATCACAGGCCATTAAATTTCATCCCAGTGCCCCAGCATGGAACCCAGTGACTTGTTAAACTAAAGCATTTCAGTCCTTGTGAGCCAAAAAACTGTTGTGTCACTGGGACGGAGGCCCCTATGATAGCAGGGAAACGATCAGGTGAGATATGTCCAGATGAGCCTAGTGTGTAATCCATATCCCAGGCTGCAGAAAACCCCAGTCTCCCCTGTGTGTGTGTGTGTCTGGGGGGAGGGAGAGGGGAAGATTCCTCTCTGACCCCAAACTAAGTGATCAGTTTAACCCTAAGCATGTGAGTGACGGATACCAGCCAAGCATCTAAGAAAAAGGGTCTCAAAACACCGTCCACTCCATGCAGTGCGCTACTTTCACCATGTGACCTAAGGCAAATCCCTCTGTCTCCATTTCGGACTCTGTAAAACAGGGGTGATAAAACTTCAGTTGTCTGCCTGCGCTACGTAGATTGGATGTGCTTCAAGTCAGGCACCTTCTCTCCCCGTGAGTACATTACGGTACCTAGAACAGGGGGCCTTGGAGGCTGATCTAACAATCGGGCGTTGGTCCAAATATCCCGCACCAAGTTTCAAACCCATATCCTAAAATCTTACATGAGTCTTACATTGAATCTGTCAAGAGCCAGTCCTGCTGCACAAGGGATGTTTTGCTACGAGCTACATTAGAAACAGGAGGCTGTGGGGCAGGAAGGCATGAAATTGACTTCTCATTTAGCACTGAGCCAAACATGTTGCTACAAAGCTTTGGGAGCACCATGCCAAGAGGAGTCCCACACTGCCAGGAAGGGTGGAGAAGCACAATGCAGCAAGGTAGCTGGAGCTCAGGATTCATCACAAGACTGGGAACGACCCTCCGAGGATGAGCCGTGGCTCTGACACGCAGTCACTGTAAGGCACAGTCAAGTAACGCCCCTGGGTGTTAGCCTTCCACCCCCAAATCTGAAAAGTGGGGATACTACTACTGGCTCAGCTGCCTCACAGCTATGGGGGAGGGGTAATTAGTGAACTCATGGCTCTTGGAACGCATACTCATGATGAAGAGAAAAAAAAACACACATTTTAAAAGGTGCAATGTACAGAAAGGGGTTAGTGGCTTCTAAGCAAAATGACCATTCCTGAGAGATGAAGCCAAACACTTCAGAACAGGGATTACCACCTGCAGAGAGTTAGTCAGGAGCAAAGCCCAGGGAGTAGGCTGGGATGGCGGGATGTAAAGTGAGGCTGGGATGTAAGACGGCAGCACGTAAAGCGAGGCAAAAAGGTTTTGAAAATAAACAGATATTGGGAACTGGAAGGAAACCCAAAGCAGCAGGGAAAGTGATGGGCACCTGTTTCATAGAGCAACCAAGGAGCTGCAGTGCAGCTTCACTCAAGACTTACTATAGCAAGGGCTTACAAACCCCCTGGCTACAGCCGTGGCGGGACGTGATTAAGGACGGATTTCAACACAGGCCAGGGGAACAGGAGGGAGAATTCCGGCAACGCTCCAGAGGGGGCCGCAAGGGGACAGGGGAGTGGAAAACACAAAAGCAAGGAGCATTCCAAGGCCTGCAGCAAAATGCTCATCGACTTCAGTGTGGCAGGGCTTTGGGACCTGCGCACCCCACATTAGGGATGTTAGACAGCAATTAATTGAACAGTCGTGTAACCGCACAAAACATTCTCGGTTACACCACTATTCGATGGTCCCCAGGGGCAGGCCATCAGCCAGTCCGCTCCGGCCCCACTCCCGGGTAGATCCCTGCCACCCCATGCTGCTGACTGTGCCTCAGAGGCAGCAGTGTGGGCTGGCAGGGGGCTCCCCGGGAGCGGGGCTGGAGCACACTGGCTCCTGGCCCCACCCCCAGGGACAATCGAATAGTCGAGTAATCAATAAGAATTCATGAGGTTAACCGATTATTCAGTTAACTGATACTTAACATCCCGTGTGTGCATGCGTGTGTGTGTGTGTGCGCACGCACGCACGTATGTGTGCATGGGTGTGTTTTCAGATAATGGAGGGAAAGGATCGGACTCCTTCAGACAGGTGACCTGTGGTTGGGTAGGGCAGAGGTGACAGCAGGACTCCTTTCTGCTCACCCAAGCTTGGGGCAACAGGAGGTCAATTCAGGCTCTAGCAGAACATGGATCAGCAGCATTCAGACAATGCCCAATATAGCACTTCTATGGAGGGTGCAGGACAAGAGTGATGCTAAGCCAGAATGTAGTTGACAGGATGAACCAATAAGCCCAGGCTCATTCGTTAATCATGTACCCGACACGTTGACATCCCTAACCCACAGAAGGCTCCCAAACGTCCTTTGGTGAAACCTCCCCATTGCAACCCAAGAGAGCTATGGGTGCTCCTCACCTTGGGAAACAGGTGCACATGAGAACTGAAGCCATTTCTGAAAAAAATGCTGACATGTCCCCAGATTGTGACAAAGAGCAACATCGCAGCAAGTGCCACAAATCTCAGACTGGCTCATCAGTCCCAGAAACAGAAGGGGGGGCGAGGGGAGGTGACAACTCCTCCCCCTGCCTCTCACTGCTGTCAGGGGTGTGACAGCCACGCAGATAGGCTAACGGCGTGAGCAGGTGGCCAAGGGTCCAGATGCGCCAGCACCTGCACTGAAGCCTGTACCCCTGTATCTTGGCTGCTCGTTAGACTAGCCAGATGACAGCTAGCAGGCGGCCTGCCTAGCTCCGATTGTGGTGGACAAACGAGAGAGACGCTGCGGAACGGTCGTTGAGCATCTGAATCAGCAAAGAGCCGGTGTTCTGGCTGCTAAGATTTCTACCAGTGGCTTTTTGAAATGAGACCACCCAATTTTTAACCTTACTTCGTGAACAGCAGAGAGAGACCAACAGGGATACAGATCCCTGTATTTAAGGGTTCAGTGCAGATCCTCAACCTACGCTGAGCTGTGGGCATTTGCCATTCATGCAATCCACTCTGGTACTTAACAGTCAGGAGCGAAATCTCACTGCAGAGGATGTGTGGGTGTCTGAACTGCAGGGACAAGAAAAAGAGGAGGAAAGGGTTGAGTCACTGAATTTAGAGATGGAAGAATCTGATTAGGCCTCTAGTCCATCCTCCAAAGGCAGTAGGTTTTTCCTCTTGGTATCTTTCTTCCTATTATTTTGTCCAATCTAGTTTCAAGTGGAGTTTTCAGAACTTCTCCAGAGACACCTGCCACATTCTAATAGTCCCCACTGTAATATTCAGCCTAAATACTTCCTTTATTAATGATGTGCTCTTATTCCTAGTTACAGCTATTCCCCCCCCACATACCCCACCACCCCGGTCTTATCTTTCACCTATATGATTTGATGTTGCGCTTGAGAAGGCCTTTACGTTGAGATCTGTAGCAGAAATACTGTTTAATTCCATCCTTATGGCCCGGATTCATAAGGGAGGAAGGGGAAGGGAGGGGAAAGAGAAGGAAGAGTGAAAGATTTAACAATAGTGCAGGATAGAAGACAGACGCCTCACAGTTTATCACCCTCATAATCCGGGGCTTTGTAGTTACAGCCAAGCTAATTATAGGAAATTGATAATTTATTCAATGAGTTCAGCCTGTTCATCTGTTCTGCAGATTCTGTGAACAGACTTGGATGCATTCGCTCATTATTTGGAATGGTGAGAATACCCTGCAAACGTAGTTCAGACTATGGGTTGTTCCATTATCTATTTACATCAATTAAATCTTCAACTATTCAGTGTTCCTGGGGTGCAACTGGGCATGTAAATCATATGATTGTGTCTCTGCTGGGATAGACTTAAAAAAAAGGAAGCCAAAGGGTTTCAAGATGATCGCTTAAGCACTTCTAGCCTCTGTGCAAACATATTTGGGAGGGATTTACTTTCAACGCACTCGTAACCCATGCTCACAATAAGCACATGAATACAAAGGGCTCCAGCAAATTCATGGTTTTCATTTTCACCAACTATGTAAGTATGGACATGCCTTCCACACTTAGCATGAGCTCTATGTAGGGCTCTATCAAATTCATAGCCCATTTTGGTCAATGTCATGGTCACAGGAGTTTGAAAATACTAAATTTCCTGCTTTCTGATATTAGTATCTGAAG